TATATTTAATTAATTTAAAGTTTTACATATATAAATAAGTGATAGATGCATAAAATAAGCAATCATTATAAAAATTAATTTAAATTATGTTAAGGTGAATTAATACATAATTCAAAAAAAAATTTAACCTTTCCCCTCGCCCCCTCTAACTTCAATTTCTGGCTCCGTCCTTGCATGCATGCATGCCAGTTACCAAGAAGCATGGGGAAGGGGACGGAAAAGGCAAAAAGAGAGAAACTTTGCTGGATATAGAATCCCTCCAATTTCACTAAAGCAGCCTTATCCCTGGAATTGCGCATCACCCCATTCGCATTTGAAAGTGTTATAATCATAATATTATACAATATTATAAACTTACAATATAATAAATTATTCTATACTTATTTTTTTATTTAAAAATTTAACAATAATATTATATATATTCACTTATTTTAATAACATGTCATACTCATTTAATGTCATATTGTAATTATAAATTTATAATCTTATATGATCTTACATGAGCATCTCACCATGTTTTATAATCTTTTGTAATATGGGTTAAAGCACCCTTGTGGTCTTGAATAAAATACTTTTGTTTTGTATCCAAAAAAAAAAAAAAATTCTCACCTTAAATTAAGTTGATCGTATTTGATTATGTGTTGTTTCTTGTAAAATAAATAGAAAAAAAAAAATAGACAAGAGATTAACAAAAAACAATTATTTAAAGATAAAAATGAAAAGTAGAAAGATGTTACTGAAGGTATGAGGAGTTTGAGCTAAGACGTGGATAATCATTCTCTTTAGGATGCTTCGTGCCACTAGTGCAACATATTTTTATGGTCACGCCATTCCTAGGATACAATAGCCAAACCTTTCCTCGTTGTATCTTTACAAGTACTACACTCTTGTAAAAAAAGCTTTACCCCACCACCTTTTCCTTGCCCAAAGAGAGTTTGTATACAGTGTTTGTGAAATAAAAATGCAGATTATAAAAATTGTATCAACCTTTGGTAGATATTTAGGTTGCCTTTTTATAGGGTTTCAAAATGTAATCGAAGTAGACAAAATGTTAAAATTTGAAATAAATTTAGTTATCAAAAAGATTTGAAACTGATGCAACTAAATGCAATAATGTTTTTTGTTACCAATCAAGATTTGAAATTGATGTAATGACGTATTGGCCACTTGAAAAACAAAAACGCATGAATTCTTTTTGATTCTTTCATTAAAACAAAACGCATATATTCTTTCTTGAAAACAGAAAATGCATGATATATATATTTTTTAATTAAAATCTATAGCATTCCCCCTCCATTTTAATTAAAAATAGAAGAAATTTAAAAGATGAAAAATATATAGGCAATGCTAGATTACTATGCATAATAGAGGTAACAATGCCTTGAACCTCTACTTAGTGAGTCAATGATTCATATCCCAAAGTCACTAGTGGGCAAAGTCTTGAACTAAGACTACCTAGACAATATAGGAGACCATATCACACACATTATAATCCAGGTGTTAATTTGAGCTTGGTAAGCCAGCACATTATAGCCTTTGTACCTAATCCTAGTATTCATGGATGATCTAAAGAATAGCTCTATTCTCATAGGAGTGGCCCCACTCTGACATCCATATAGGTGAAATTTGTCAAGGGTGCTCCCATAACGAATACATCCCACTCAATGAGCTACAAATTTCATTACGAGGTATAACACTCAACCCTCACATACGTTATGGGATAGATGCATCTACACTTTAGGAATGGGATAAGAGTTATTATTATTATTATTATTATTATTATTATTATTTATGCATCTTTCAACAATGACCTCTCTATAATTTGTTTTTCCCATTCAAAACCCCTCAATAATTTTGATCATTGGATTGGGTATCCTCATAGGAAGTTCCACATTCTTTGGGCTCCAATCCCATTCCCCTTGATGCAATTCAGATCTTTTCTCTGGCCAGAGCTTTTGTAAACAGATCAACAATATTTCACTTGATTGTATATAATCCACGTGGATTGTCCCATTATTCAAGTAAGACCTCACAATGCTATGTTTCCTTCAAATAGATCTAGATTTCCCATTATAAAAATGGTTATTCACTTTGTAAATGGCAGTAGTACTATCACAGTGAATGAGTATAGGAGGCACTAGTTTTTCCCATAAAGGAATTTCAAACAACAAATCTCTTAGCCAACTAGCTTTTTCAGAAGCTAGTGCTAATGATATCATCTCTGCCTCCATAGTTGACTTTGCAATTATTTGTTGTTTTTTAGATTTCCAACTAATAGCACCACTACCAATCTTAAAAACATACCCTGAAATAGATAAAGAATCACTTAACAAGGTGTTCCAATCAGCATCACAAAATCCTTCAAGTATAGCATGGTACTTTTGATAAAATAAACCATAATTTTTGGTAGCACATAGATCTTATTAAGTGTTTAACACAATCCCAATGAAAGGAATTAGGCTTGCTAGTAAATCTCCCTAGAATTCCAACTACATAAAAAATATCAAGTCTTGTGCAATCAGTAAGATATTGTAAACTACTAATGATACTAGCATATTCCTTTTGATTAAGAATATCTTTATCATGCAAAGTGGGATGCAAAGTGGGATACAAATACACACTAGGTGATAAAGGTGTCATAACATGTCTAGAATTATGATAATTATATTTCTTCAAAAAAATTTCTATATAATGGCATTGATCAAGAAAGATTCCATCATAATTTCTAGTTATTTTCATGCCAAGAATCACATTAGCCTCACCCAAATCCTTCATGTCAAAATGCTTATTTAACAATGACTTAGTAGTGTTAATCACCTTTAAACTTGAACCAAAAATCAAGATATCATCAACATACAAACATATAATAACATGACACTTATTGAAAAATCTAAAATATATGCATTTATCGCTTTCACTTAATTTAAAACCATTTTCTATCAAGCAAGTATCAAATTTCTCATGCCATTGTTTTAGAGTTTGTTTCAAACCATAAAGAGATTTAGTCAATTTACATACCTTGTCCTCTTGGCCAAGCATAACAAAACCTTCAGGTTGGTCCATGTAAATCTCTTCATGCAAGTCTTCATTTAAAAATGTCGTTTTAACATCCATTTGATGGCTGAGTATGTTATGAATGGTGGCTATAGCTATAAGTACTCTAATGGAAGTCACTCTTGTTACAGGTGAAAAAGTATCAAAAAAGTCTACTTCCTTCTTTTGTTTGAAACCTTTTGCAACAAGTCTTGCTTTATATTTATCTATGGTTCCATCTGGTTTAAGTTTTTTCCTCAAAACCCATTTATATCCTATTGTTTTACAACTAGGAGATAAATCTATCAACTTCAAAGTTTTATTAGAAATCAAAGAATCCATTTAACCATTAATAGCTTCTTTCCAAAAATCAGAATCAGAAGAAGTTAAAGCTTCTTAAAAAGACAATGGTTCTCCATCTACATTGTATACATAATAATTTAAACCAAAATCTTTTTCTTTACATGTCCTTTTACTTCTTCTAGGTTCAAAATCTATGTCATCTTGGTTTCAAAAATGAGAAGAAATTGAGGAACTAGGTTCAAAATCATTTTGCTTTGAAAAATCATGACTTCCATTTTTCTTAAGTTTAAAAGGAAATTTATCTTCATGAAATATAACATCTATAGATTCAATAGCAACATTAGAATCAAGATCAAAGAATCTATATGCCTTACTTGTAGTTACGTACCTGATAAATACACATGTCGCAACTTTTGCACCCAACTTTGGTCTTTTTGGATCTGTTAATCTTACATTAGTCAAGCATCCTCAAGCTTTGAGATAACTAAGATTTGGCTTATAACCTTTCCACAACTCAAAAAATTATCAGGTTAGTCTTCTTATTAGGAATATGATTTAAAATATAACACGCAGTCAAAACATCTTCACCCCACAAATTATAAGGTGCACATGAACTAACAAGCATAGTATTAGTCAAATCAATTAAAGTACGATTTTTACGTTCAGCTACACCATTAGAAGAAGGTGAATATGGAGGAGTAGTCTCATGAATAATACCCAAAGATTGTATGAATTTGTTAAAATCATTTGAATCATACTTATCACCTCTATCACTTCTAAACCTTTTAATATTCATTCCAAATTGGTTTTCAACCTCATTTAAAAATATTTGAAATTTTTCAAAAGCATCACTTTTATGCTTAATCAAATAAATATAAATATATTTTGAAAAATCATCAATAAAAGTAATAAAGTACCTATAACCACCACGTGATAAAACTCCCTCAAATTCACAAATATCAATATGTATTAATTCTAATAAATTCGTTTTTCTTTCAACACTTTTAAAAGGTTTTTTTAGTGATTTTAGTCAAACTACAAGATTCACATTTTTCAAAAGGTTAAATACCCTTTTTAGTCCCTCTACTATAGGAAAAAGCCCCTTGTTGGTCCCTATACCGAAAAAATCCCCTTTTTAGTCCTTACTGTTCACAAATTCGACCCCTTTTTGGTCCTTCCGTTAATTTTTGCTCACATGGCACATCAACTTAACTAGAATAGCTGATATGGATATGCCAACGTGTAAAAAATGCTTACGTGGACTTAATGATACCCTCCACGTCACCCTCCCTGCGTAGGAAAAGAAAAAAAAAAAGATTAAATGCTAAATTTGATCCCTCAACTTGATAGGTTTGCATTTTTTTGGTCCTCAAATTATTTTTTTCACTTTTTTGATCTTTTAACTTTAAAAATTACACAATTTTGGTTCCTCCGTCAGTTAAGTATGATGTGACAGTTAAATAATTCTATTTGGTATTTTCTTTTACTTTTTTTGATGACATGGCAATTAATATATTATAATTATGTTATATAGATAAGTAAAAATATCATGTAAATAAATATTTATATTTTAATTAAAAAATAAAATTACATTATTACCCTCACCTCCCAATCCCTCTTCTTCCCTTTCTTTCTTTCTCTTTCTTTCTTTCAAACCCAGACGCAGACTTGGAAGGCTACTGCCGGACCCGAAGATGACGGTTTTCTTCCTTGACTTGCACTGCAGGGTCAGATTGCTTCAAAGGTTTCCCTCCTCCAGCTCCAGGTAAAACTTAGAGTATGCTAGATGGGAGATTAGTTTCACTCGACTATGAAAGTAAGTTGCTTGGATTGCCCAGTTAGTGACAACTCATCAGCAGTAGATGATTCGCTGGCCACGACCAGACCCAAATTGAGGCTGCATGACAGGGGAAACAAAGGAAGAAAAATATGGAAGAATTGGGTCAGACAGCCTACTATGGCCGCGACCAAGTCCAACTTGGGTTGGCTGCAGCGAGCATTGCCCCGACTCATCCGATTCGGATTGGGCAAAATCAAACTGGGAAGGAGCTGGGGGAAAGCTGTCACCTTAGCCGCGTCCACAGTGGGAAGTGGAGAATAGGGATGATGATTGGAGTAGAAAAGGGCTTTGGGTCAGTAATCCATTGTAGTGATGGCTGGAAATTTTCATAGGATCTTCCTATGAAACCCAGATACTCAAATTGAAGCTGAAACTTGAAGCTAGGGTTTTGGATTTTGCAAAGAGAAAGGAACGAACGTCTACGCTGGTGGGTTTTTCGGATATCTTTCAGAGCACAACAGTGCCGCTTAACATAAACTAAATAAATAAAAGTGATAATTAAAAAAAAAAATCCTCAAAAACAATCTTCTCAGGCCGTGTTCTTCAAAACCCACTTGAAAGGCTGAAATTATCCCTTCGAAATCGTCTCTAGTTCTGAAGGGAGAGTTTTAAAGAGAGAAAGGGACCAACTTTTAGCTTCTCTCTTGAACTGTCTCTCTGTCCTTCTCCTTGGACCAGTTTAGGGTTCTCAGTTTCAGTTCCAAGATGGTCAATTCTAGTTTTCATTTTCCTTTTTTGAATCACTAAGGTTCAATCTGTTGCTTTTTTTCTAGTTTGTTTGATTGAGATTGTGCTAGCTCTGTGCATGTTAGCTAAATCCTTGAGCGAGGCTGGGTTCGGGCAAATTTATCCAATTCCAGCAAGGCTGGGTTCAGGCGACCAACAAGGTTGGGTTTCGACAAACCCAGTAGTTGGGTTCGACGGAACCCAACAGATTTGGGTTTTGTCGAACCCAGCTACCTAGCTCATCGGAACCCAGCTGATCTGGGTTCGAAAGAAAGAAAGAGAAAGAAAAAAGGGGAAGAAAAGGGATTGAGAGGGGAAGGTAATAATGTAATTTTATTTTTTAATTAAAATATAAATATTTATTTACGCGACATTTTTATTTATCTATATAACATAATTATAATATATTAATTGCCATGTCATCAAAAAAATTAAAAGAAAATACCAAATGGAATTATTTAACTGTTACATCATGCTTAACTGATGGAGGAACCAAAATTATGTAATTTTTAGAGTTAAAAGATCAAAAAAGTGAAAAAAATAATTTGAGGACCAAAAAAATGCAAACCTATCAAGTTAAGGGATCAAATTTAGCATTTAATCTTTTTTTTTTTCTTTTCCCGCGTAGGGAGGGTGACGTGGAGGGTATCATTAAGTCCACATAAGTATTTTTTACACGTTGGCATATCCACATTAGCTATTCCAGTTAAGTTAACGTGCCACGTGAGCAAAAATTAATGGAATGACCAAAAAAGGGTCGGATTTGTGAACAGTAAGGACCAAAAAGGGGATTTTTTCGGTACAGGGACTAAAAAGGGGCTTTTTCCTATAGTAGAGGGACCAAAAAGTGTATTTAACCTTTTCAAAATCATTATTTACTTTGGGTATTAATCCAAGATTACTCATATTTTTTTATATATTTATTATTAATATGACATAAATGAACACGCCAAACAGTATTAGAGATCATATAAATAGAACTTGAAGGAACTTTATTCATATCAATATTCAACTTGTACATGCCATCACATGCAAAGCCTTTCCCAACAAATATGCCATTTTTAGTCAAAGCATAATGCCCAGATTCATAAACCTCTTTGAAGCTAGCCTTACCAAGAAGAAATCTAGAAACTAAATTTTTCTTCATTTGAGGAAAGTAAAGCACATCTTTGAGAGTTAATGTTTTTCCAGAGGTAAAATTCAATTCCATCTCTCCTTGGCCAAGAACCTTAATTGTATGACCGTCATCAAGTCTCACTTCTTTTTCAACATCATATTCAAAATATGTTTTGAACCAAGATTTGTCTTTGCAGACATGCCTTGTGACACCAGAATCAATCCACCATCCCTCACCACCATTAAGCATGTTTATGTCAGATAACATCGCCACAAAGGGCTCCTCAGTTACGTTGACCTATGAAGTAAGTCCACGTTTTTGGAATTTGCAAACTCTAGCAGTATGCCCAGGCTTGCCACACACAGAATGTTGACCTTGGTTCTTAAAATTTTGACTTAGTCTCTTAGCAGAATGGTTCCCATAATTCTTTTTCACAATTTTCTTCTTAAATATCAATTGGGCATTATATTTAAAATTATTATTTTTGGGAAAGCTATCACTAGTAGTAACAAAGTGTACCTTTGATGTGTTACCTCCATTTGTAGTTCGAGCATCTTGATTCCTTGCCTCCTCTTCAACTCGAATACGAGTTAAAAGATTTTCCATGGTGATCTCCTTTTGCTTGTGATGCATCATCTTTTGGAACTCTTTCCATGAAGGCAGCAGCTTGTCAATAATGGCTGCAACTTCGAGGTTGTCATCAATTCATATGCCTTCAGATCGGAACTAATGAGCAAGCATTTGTAACTCTCAAATTTCTGACACCACCGACTTGTCATCCACTATTTGGAAGCGTAACCATCAGCTACCAACATACATCGTCGCACCAGCCTCCTTAGTGTCATACTTTTTTTGCAAAGTATTCTAAGTTTCCTTGGCAGTGGAGTAAGTTCTTTCATAGTAATCATAAAGCTCATTAGAAAGGCAATTAAGTAAAGAGTTGTGGCAACCATATTCATCTTTCTCCCACTTTTGGACTTTTTTCCTATGAGATTTCCTTTTCTCAGCACTCATACCTTCGGTTGACTTATTAATAGGATTTTCCTCGTTGAGAACATATGCCAAATTTAACAAATTAAGATAATACAAAACTTTTCCTTTCTATCTTTTGAAATGCTCACCATTAAAACGAAAAGGCAAGTTAAGATCATTAGCGAGCTTAACAAGTTTTTCACAAGGGAAACTTATTTTTTAAAGAATTTTTCTTTCGAAACGTCCTAAAATTGTTGTTTTTCGTAAAATAAATAGAAAAAAAAAATAGACAAGAGATTAACAAAAAACAATTATTTAAAGATGAAGATGAAAAGTAGAAAGATGTCATCGAAAGTATGAGGAGCTTGAACAAAGGCATTGATCAATCACTCTTTTTAAGATGTTTCGTGTCATTGATGCAACAAATTTTTATGGTCACGGCGTCCCCATGATACAACAGCCCAACCTTTTCTCGTTGTATCTTTACATGTACTGCACTATTGTAAAGAAAACTTTACCCCACCACCTTTTCCTTACTCAAAGAGAGTTTGTATACAGTGTTTGTGAAATAAGAATGCAGATTATAAAAATTGTATCAGCCTTTGGTAGATATTTAGGCTACCTTTTTATAGGGTTTCAAAATGTAACCAAAGTAGACAAAATGTTAAAATTTGAAATGAATTCGGTTATCAAGAAGATTTGAAACTGATGCATCTAAATGCAATAATGTTTTCTGTTACCAGTCAAGCTTTGAAATTGATGTATGATGTACTGGTTTAAACCCATTTGAAAAACAAAAACGCATGAATTCTTTTTGATTCTTTCATTAAGACAAAATGCAAATATTCTTTCTTGAAAAACAAAAAACGCATGATATATATATATATATATATATAAATTAAAATCTATAACATTCTGTACACAACAGAAAGTGATATTATTGGATGATGATGCGAATTTCTTGTTATTCCTCGATTATGTTTGGAAGTGGTTAAGAGAAAAGGCCGATCAGTCTTTAATCATGTGGTACCAATCTTTGCTTCGAGAATCCTGACAACTGGCTGCTGTCGGCAATGAAGGAAGAATGCAGACAATCTCTAGGCTTATCCCTTTCGAGAAAGCACCGTTCTCGGTTCTCCTAGAAATAGAATATTAATCTTTCTCTGCTTGGTTAGCGGTGCCTGAAACACATTACTTGCAAGTTACTGTACAACCCAAACTAGATGCAATTTCTTCCAAGAATAATCGAACATTTTGAATCGGAAAGAATATTGAAGCATATGGGTGGATGGTTTGAATTGAAATTACTGCAGCAATGACCAAAGTAATGGAGAATATTCATTATTTTCAAGAATGTGTGGAAAGGATAATGGTGGTGTTGATTGTGTTATCTTTATTCTCAACCATTTGCCATTTTCAGAAATCAATACTAACCATGTCATCAGCCTTCTCCTTCTGACCCCTTTTTGGTTTGAGTATGGATGAGACTCCTCTCCATTCAATCCCACCACCAGCATATTTTCTTTTTTGGCCTGAAAATGATGAATTATTCAATTTCAAAAAATAGTAATGACTGAGTATGTGTGCAAGTAAAATAAGCAACAATGTTAAAAGTAAAACCAATACAGCACAAATCAAGCAGGTGGCGCGTTCCTTGTCCAGTATGTACACCAAAGAGAATAGGGGTGCAAGGAGCCAAGCTAGCGATGCACTTCCCCATTCTTGAACAGGGGCGCAACCCAATGGCCTGCAGCTTTTAACCAAAGTATTACTATGAAATGGACATAGTGCTAGAAGGATAAAAAGTTCTAATCAAACTTCAGAAAACAGGCTAGAAAAGCAGGGGATACCTCCTCTACCTTAGCCTTTTACCAAAGAAAAACTAGCTAAAGTTGCAGGGAAAATACCTTCTAGTGTTACCTCCACAAAAGTTGAACGTTAGTTAACAAAATGAGGAGCATACTTATGAGACCCCTTGCCTTGTGACCGTCAGCTGCTACTATCTAGTAGTATCATTTAGATAAATGGTTATGGGTTGTTAGTTGCTACAATGTAATTTGAAATGAATAATAAAGATATACTTCATATAAGTATTTCATTCGACACATTCAAGGATGGCAACTTGTCCAATAAATGAAACCATCTTGTGAAAATAGCCATGATATGGGAAATTAAATGCAGAATAGATGCAGTTTAGTTCCATCCATCTCCGTTAATGGAAATTAAAAGTATAATATAATAATGTTGAGAGATTTTCAACATTTTCCAGAAATTTCAAACAAATGAAAATCATCCCTAATACCAAGCAGCGTTGTTTCCATAACATTGTTATTTCCAATTTCCATACTTAAGTTGCAGCTGAGGAAATTACCATCTTGGAAAATGCCACTTCCAATTTGAAGTGCAGCTCTGTATGACAGAATTTGCAAAGTAAAACCCAAAATAGAGGAATGGTTACAGACAGTCCAGATCCAGGATCCCAATCTTGGTCAGAAACCTTACCAGTGGTAGACTGATTCCCCAGTAAAGTCACCAAAATTTGGAAATTATAAATCACGTTTTACCTGACAACAGTTAAATGAGGTAACTCTAATCCTGCTAAAGAATACGATTAGGCATGGTGATGGATAGACATGCATCCTTAATGTCCTTGTTGGAGCTGTGGTGTCAAAGCTGCACAAGAGGCAGCAAATGGAAAGAAAGCTGCACAGGTGGCAGCAAATGAAGAAGGAAGGCTGCACCAAAGCACGGTAGCAGCAGAGTGCAGCAAGCTATGCTGAAAATGTTGATGAAATGAGGCTGTAATGAAATGCAGATGAAATGCAAATGAGGCTGCAAAGTAGCAGCAAGTACAGCCACATGAAGCTGCACAAGTGGCAGCAAATGAAAGGAAATGAAGCTGCACAAGTGGCAGCAAGTCTTTTAATGTAATCTTGCATTAAATGTATTAGATAAGTATTGGGTGAGAAAATTACCTTTATGTACTATGAAGTTTCTGCTATATAATGGCAGAAAATGAATGAAAAAAATGAGTTTTCACCTCAACAGAGAGGGAACTCCCGTGTGTCTCCCTTCTCCTCCAAGTCCCTTCCTTTTCATAAAAAATTTCTTCAACAGTCCTCAACCCATGTTAGATTCAGGACATCTTTAAAAGTCAAACCACATTCCAAAACTTTGAGAGAACCAGAAAGAATACTCTTAAAAGACTCAATATCCAACCATCCTCATACGACTGATTGAGTCATTTTTCATTACCCACTCACCCATCTACTTTCAGCTTAGAGGATTTTATTTGAGTTTCTAATTCCTACATATCATAGTGGAATCAAGCCAAACATCAAAACCACAAATGCAACCAAGTTCCCGAGAAAAGGCAACAACTATTTCTGTATCTAAGA